CGCCCGACAAGATGGTGGTGTTCTTGAGGTGAATTAAAATAAATCAGCGTAGATAATTGTCATGCGCCCTATGCAGCGTGAATTAGCCATCCGACCTGGTTAAAATGGCCAGTGAAGCGGTAGCGAATGAGGGATGCGCTAATTTACCGCAGTTCCGACCAACCTAGCATAGCAAACGCATTGAGGTGAGCTCATAAGCAAATCCAAGAAAGTGTTCTGAAGTGTGTAGAAACAGAGTCACTAAATACTTCTATTTTAAAACTATTCTAGGTGATTGCTATGCTTGCAGATTTAGGATCACTAAGCAGACGGCTTGAGAATATTGGGAACTTGTGTATTGCTGCAGCGTGAGTAATGCAGCAAATGAGTTTTACCCAAGCAAGACAAGTCACAGTTTATGAACCTAACCCTTAACTTACCCGCTACTTCATCCTCTGCCGGAGATCAAATTGTGTAACTAAAATGTCTCTGATTTATCCACCAGATTCGTCCCAAGCTTAGTCTAAGCTGATCTCAACGATTTAACTTTGTGGAGAAACGTGCAAACATTGCTTTAGCATAATTTAGCATATAGTAGGATCAGCAGTTAAACTTTTTGAAGCAGAAGTCCATATTTGGGCTTCCTATAAAGCACCCTTTGTGTCAGAAAAAAAATACCCCCTTATCAACAAAGTCACAAACTCTCGATGTTAATGTAAGAAAAGGTCAGCTGCATAGCGCGGAAAACAAGAAAATGATTTTATTTGGGGGAAAAAAAAGCTTCCAGATAGTTCATTCGTCAAATCCTAGCTGCTCTCTGTATACTAGTAGACTCGTTTTGGAATATCGCATTTTATTTAGGGAGCTGAATATGCACAACGAGGTAAAAGCTGATTTCCTAAATGGTACAAACAAAGTTTTTACTTGAATTATTTGGATTATTTGCATACAAAGAATTTCAAATATCTTCTAAGAGTGCATTGTGATGCGATGCAATTCTACGGCAGAAGAACACTTTACCAAAATTTTCTTATAAATAATTACATGTTACATAAACCGCTAGGAAAAACTCCTTACTTTAATAGCTATAGAATAATGGAAAGCGGCCAATATTTTTCGCACACCACGTGCCTGTCTTTTGGCTCTTTAACATGGCAATTCTCAGTCTTACGTCCAATCATTTCTAAATCAACGCAGTTCTCTCTCTTTTTCAATATCCTCATAGTTTGATTCAAAAATTTCATAGAAAAATGTTCACTTCGAAAGTGCTTGATGACAGCGTTAGAGTAACTTGCACACCTATGTTCTGGGATGGTGAGATTAGTTATAAAAATCGTGATAGGACTAATCTCTTGAACCGCATCAATGTGCCCTACATACGATTTCGAATTCGAAAAAAAAAAATGTGAGGAGAAAAAGCATTTCCAAAGATATGTGTCAGGTGGTGATGCAAAGTTAGTCCTTGATATAGGAGAATTCTAACCAAGAAGAGCTTTTACGTGATTACTTCAAGGTGAATTGCGATTTTCCAAGCAATTTATGGCGGAACTCGCTTTTCTCGCATCTTTGATAGTATTCTTCGGACCTCCGCATATAAAGAGGACAAATTGAAGAACAGCGTTTGAGTTCCACCTACTAACTTCACTTAACATTTAAGATTTTGGGTTGTGTCAAGCGAAATGTTTTTAGAAAGGTACCCTAGCCAGATGATAAAAATGTTAAG